GGAGGGTTCGTGTACTAGGCAAAAAGCGTTTTTTACGCTCTACCTCTTATGCTGTACCGCAAATAAATCTGGTCCTGAATCCTTCAGTTACGCTGTCGTCTGACCATTTGGCAATCTTCTTCAACCCGGTCATTAAGGAGTATTGGTCATCGTTCACGACGCTTTTAATTTTTGACAACTGGTCCTTTCTTTTTAGGTCCTGGTTTTCGTTTTTGTACCGGTCAATCTGACTGAAAAAAAATCAATAAATCAAAATAAAACCCCACAAAAATTAATAATTAAAAACTTACTCAACAGCGTTAAAACATTCATAGCACGACGAAGCCTTTTCCTGTGTTGGCGGATTTGAATTTTCGGCATCCGATCCGTTTAGGTCACCAGAAGCTTCACAAAATTCTTCACGTTGCGTGGATAGATTTGAATTCGCTTGATCCGTGTTAAGAGCATCGACCGAGTCGAAATTTCAAAAGCTTTCATCCAGGTATTCCACCTCGCCATAATCTGAAGCTTCTGTACCAGTGCATAGCGTTTTCGGTTCTGGAACTGAACTTAATAGTACGTTCAGACTATAGCTGATATTATGTAATATAGGCTATCTTGCAATGAGCACTCATACATAGGATTTCCAGTGAAAACTAGATGTATGAGTGCTCATTGCAAGACAGCCTATATTACATGATATAAGCCATAGTCTGTACGGGGTATAACTGAGGGACGGCTCAAAACCACGGAACAGCACCATTGATCTTCCGGATCTTTCCAGCTGTGTCTCTATACAAATCATCCTCTTTAAAATGCAGCTGAAAGGGAAAATTTTTATAAATATACCACTCAATCTTTGAAATTTTATTAAAAAAAAACTTACACTACACAAACGGTTACTATCAGAGAGTCTGAAAGCAGCAGTCAACCCGCAGAATCCAAGCCACAACTCGCGATCAGATTTTTTCACCGGAAATCGAAAAAATGCCACGTTTTGGAGCTCGCTTCGGGACTCATTTTCACAATGTGGAAAAAAGCACTTCATTTTTGGGACATTAGCCGACGGAAACAGGTGAAAAACGAATGAGGAAGTAATAATCAACAAACAAGCTGCTGCCGAAATCGGTTTGTTTTGATTTTTGCTTTGAGTCATGAGGCGATTGAACTTTTTCCAGTGCTGGCAAATTTATGGTGGTATATTTTCAGTTGTCAGATCTACGGATTTTGCATGGCGCATGTCTATAACTAGACAGTCTATAGTGTCAGATGGTTTTGGACGAGAAGAACGCAGCGCGGGATAAGAAACACGCAAGCTCTACAAGAAACTCAACGCATCCCGCCACAGGCTTTGTGCCGCGAGCCGAAATGTGTCGGGATAAGGAAGGGGGTACGAACGTGAGGTGATTGAAAGGTGGGAGCAGCACTACGATGAACATCTGAACGGCGCAGAGGCAGAATACCAAAGCGGCAGGTGGAATGGCTTCGTCGGTACAGCGGATGAGGGGGACATGCCAGCTCCCACGATAGGTGAAGTTAAGGATGCTATCCAACAGCTTAAGAACAACAAAGCAGCTGGGAAAGATGGTATCGAAGCGGAACTTATCAAAATGGGCCCGGATAAGTTAGCCACTTGTCTGCACCGACTGATAGTCAGGATCTGGGATACAGAACAGCTACCGGAGGAGTGGAAAGAGGGAGTAATATGCCCAGTATATAAAAAAGGCGATAAACTAGAATGTGAGAACTATCGAGCGATCACTATTCTTAACGCGGCCTAAAAAGTGCTTTCCCAGATCATCTTTCACCGTTTATCGCCGCTAGCAAGCAGATTTGTGGATAGTTATCAAGTCGGTTTTGTGGACGGCCGATCGACAACGGACCAAATCTTTACGTTTCGGTAGATCCTCCAAAAGTGTCGTGAATATCAAGTCCCTACGCACCACCTATTCATCGATTTCAAGACCGCTTATGATACTATTGACCGTGAAGAGCTATGGAAGATTATGGACGAGAACGGTTTTCCCGGGAAGCTGACCAGACTGATCAGGGCTGCGATGGATGTTGTACAGTGCTGCGTGAAGATATCGGGTGCGTTATTGGACTCGTTTGAAACTCGCAAAGGACTTCGACTGGTCTTTCCTGCCTCCTGTTCAACATTGTGCTAGAAGGTGTTATGAAACGTACGGGCTTTAACATGCGGGGCACGATCTTCAATAAGTCCAGCCAGTTCATCTGCTTCGCTGACAACGTGGACATTGTCGCAAGAACGTTTCAGGCCGTGGCGGAGCAGTACACCAGGCTGAAACGTGAAGGAGAGAAGGTTGGATTAAAGTTGAATACGTCGAAGACAAAGTATCTGTTAGCTGGAGGAACCGAGCGGGATAGGGCTTGCATAGGCAGAAGCGTGACAATCGACGGAGATGAGTTCGAGGTGATGGATAGATTTGTGGACCTCGCATCATTGGTGACGTCGGATAACAACTGCAGCAGAGAAATTCGTCAGCGTATTATTGCCGGAAGTCGTGCTTACTACGGACTCCACAAGACCCTGAGGTCGGGTAACCTTCACCTCCGTACTAAATGTACCATGTACAAGACGCTGAAAAGACCGGTAATTCTCTACGGGCACGAGACGTGGACGATGCTCGAGGAGGACCTGCAAGCACTGGGTGTTTTCAAACGACGAGTGCTTAGGACCATCTTTGGTGGGGTATGTGAGAACAGTGTATGGAGGCGAAGGATGAACCACGAGCTGGCGCAACTCTATGGCGAACCCTGTATCCAGAAAGTTGCGAAAGATGGACGGGACACGTTTTTAGAATGCCCGACAACAATTCCGCAAAAATGGTGTTTGCCTCGAATCCGGCCGGTACAAGACAAAGAGGAGCACAGCGAGGAAGGTGGTTAGACCAAGTGCAGCAAGATCTAGGAAGTGTGGAACGGTCAAGAAATTGAAGACAAGCAGCCACGGACCGAGTGAATTGGCGTAAAATTGTGATGCATGTGCAATCCTGAGGGATGCCGGACCAGGATAAGTAAAAGTAAAAAAAATTGTGCCGGTATCATTCAAACAACTACGTATGGTCCAAGTAACTAAATGGAATACCGGCAATTCATCATCAGGTGTTTTCACGTGAGAAATGCTTAAAATATATATTTTCATTTTCGGATGATGCGTTTTATGAAAGACGAAACTATCAAAGTCGAGCGCTCTTTCCGCTCACTGAAGCTTGAAAGAAAGACCAATCAAGCGACGGAAGGAAAATAGACAAACGATTGAAAATTTGATGATGATGTTCGACTTCAACAGAAACAGAAAGCTAGCAGTCTCTTCGTCGCATCGATTTTATCGATTGAAGTTGATATTGTGATGCCCTTGTTTCCAGCACCTACGAAGTTCCAGGACAAATAGCAAAAAAAAAAAGATAATTTTATAATTGACCTTCTCCGATTTGCATGACATTTTGTATAATTGTATATTTTTCTGTGAAGAGGTAATATTACTGGTAAACAACGCGCTTGGTCTGCTCTCCATCATCTTGAAAATAAAGTCTTACTGACTCCGAACTGAGACGACGAAAAGTAGTGATGAAATTCTAAAACAAACGTTTATTCCATATAGTTGCAGTCAATGTTATCTGCATTAAAATGCTGTCCCCACTCAGATTGATCGACAACTTTTGTAAAATAAAATTGAACGAGCTCCAAAAACCGTCGAAGTGAGATCCCTATCACGACCGCCGATTTCTTTTCCCTAAATTGACTATTACAAGCGTGTCACTTTAGATTTAGGATGGGGTATGTCGACTTCCCTAGCACAGACATCAAAGCTCAAGTAATGAATGAAGATTTTCCATTTCCTTTGAAAATTACCAATCGCTAATGTTGCGTTACCCGCTACATTAGTATATCTGAAAATGGGTGATATATTAGTATCTTTAGTATATCTGAAAATGGGTGATATCACAACATATTGTTTACTGTGCAGGTTTTTAAAGTCCTAGCAATTTTCATGTAATTAATAGAACATACATGAACTTTGGGACTTTGTAAAAGCTTTCTCCGAAATGTTTAAGACAATAAAATATCAGATTCTTTAAAATATTCCCATGATTTTGAGAAACACATATTTCGAAATTCTTCAATAAAAGCAACACATTACAGTGGAGATCAGAAAAGCCAATTCAAACACAGCTATAGGTATACCATTGTTCCGTATCGAAACGACTTCACTGTAGTTCCGTAATCTTGGCATCAATGCGTGAGGAAAAGCTAAACAGAAACCACCTCCTGATCTGGGATCAGACGATACGGGCAAGTGACACACAAATTCTAAACTATGTACACAATGCAACGGCACAGGGGGAATCTATAATCACTTTTATAATTGTATTACATGAGAGAGCACGAGACAGAGAGTGTCGCACGGGCGAGAAACAGTTATTACAAGTAGATGCCGAGTGGAAAGCTGCGACTCCCTCCTCACTGGAACATTATTGTCAACATAGCTCTCACAGGAAGAAACAGTTAACATCCCTTCCGATGGTATGCTTGGCGGAGAACGTAGGGAACTTCAAACGTACCGATTCGATTACTATACTCATATGCAGGACTGCGTTTTGCTACCGACTACGCACCCAAATTGAACCGAGGGGAATGGCCTAACGAAATCGTTAGCGTGCAATTTTTGCGTTTTTCCGTCACCCTATAGCTTCTACCGCATTTATAATCCTGTGCTATTATTGTCACATCAAATTCATTCTAACGACGTGTCAGGGCCGACGATATTTGCCGGAGGGATATAACCGATGGCTACTCGTTTAATTGGCTGCCGCATAAGTTATGCACGATTTCTTGATGAAATTAGCATTAAATCTGCCTCCGCCAGTATCAGGGAAAGGGTGTCCGTTGAAGGATTATTAGAAAGCTATAAAATATTAAGGCTGTGATTTTTGATAATTCGATGATACGATAGAAATGCATACATTTAGAAATATCAATTTTTAATCACTTGACAGCTCAAGTCCATGGATGCCAACCGGTATGCCACGAAGAAGACGATCGCTCAGGGCATGCTGGATATTGCCCTGCTGACGGCCAACGCATCGCAGCTCAAGTACATCCTGCAGGTTGGCGAGAAGCACGAGTTCTACACCCTGATGCTAGTGCTCATCAGTATTTCCATCATCCTTCAAGTGAGTATCATTTACTTGTCACAGGAAATCCACACCACAACCGCTAAACAGTCACCGCTTGCGTCATCATTTTCATTGTAATAACACAGCTAGTCCCCTGACATTTCTAACACAACAAAACTAATTTCCTAAAGGTCGCCATGGGTATCCTGAATCTGACGCTCAGTATGCTTCATGACTGTCGATTGCATCTTCCGGAGTACCACCGATCGGCTAACGCGATAAATTATATCGTTACCGCGACGGCCTTTCTGGTTACCATGCTCAATCTGATGATATCGGCTTTCGATCCGATGGTTTTGAAATACGTGCTTGATTAGATGGGATTAGGATATAGGGACCCTCAGGTTGAAGCTAGTCAGTCAGTGTGATGAATCATAAGACTATGTTTGTGGAATTTCTTTTTTTTTGTGTAAGTCCATGTGGCATGGAAGCCATGTCAGATGTTTGCGACAGTCGTACACTATTGAATGGCACGTAATTAATTGCAATTTATATTAAAACATGCATTTCCAATCTGCGCTTTCGTACCTATAATTGACCGACACGTAATTGGTATCGCATGTCGATAAGTTAATAATGAATGATTGTCTGATGGTGAACTTAATAAACATTTAATGGTATAGGCTCTGTATTTAACGCCCCTTTACATTGGTACATCAAAGTAGAGAAGAGTGGGGATAAGAGCAACAAAAGCGAGTTTGATTCAATTGGGTTGTTTAGGGGTATTGAGGTAGATATACATATTCGTTATCTGCATTCAAAATTTCATCCATTTTGGTACACTGGAACTATTTAAAATAAGTACGATTACATTAGCAAAAATCACCAGCGCCCCTTGGTGGGACTTTGTATCGGAGCGAGCTGTCAGCAAATAGATTTAGTGTCAACGATCAAAAATTTAAATCTTGATTAAAAAATCGAGATGAATGTCTGCGAGATCGATAAAAAAAATCATTATGCTCAGAAAGCGAAGCTCTATCAGACGATGTATAACAATCGGTGTATTTTTCGAAGTTAAACAACCCAATTTTACTTAGTTGAAATTGGAACCATGACAGATAAATTTGACGACTACAATCTGATGACTGCACATATTAGTCGAAATAAGAGGGGTTAATATCCCTTATATTGGTCTAATTGTCATTAATATTGGGCCCATACATACATTTCGGAGAATAGAATTTTTGCCAAAATTTTACTAGAAACCAAAAAATATAAATTTGTGTTGTACAGATGACGCATTGCTCGAAGAAAAAATAAGAACAGGAGATTTTTATTGATGGGCCTAACATTAGAGCCATTTCCCCCTATTCATGGATACAAATTGAGCTGAGTGAGTTTAAAATGTGAGTATTCCACCAACAACCAAATTCATAGCATCCAGAATAGGGATTTTTGTACGATCCGGAATTCGTAAGACGTTGTATTTTTGTCAAACCAAGATGGCAATTACCGATCAACATGCAATGCGAGTAAAATGTATTTCAAATATTTTTCCTACTCCTACTCCTTAGGATTCCTACTAATCCTACGCCATTTTGTACAGTATTTATAAATTGCCTTCATATGTGTAACAAACAGGGATAGAGAACCGCACTAAGCACAGACGAGTTAAATATGTGTGTCTGCACTTCAAAACAAAAGAGACGTGCAGTGAGCTTAAGCTATGCGATTGTGCTTATACAAAATGTGCGCACTTGCAGAATGTGCTAGAATGTCAAAATTTAACAATTTTGGAAATATGAGTGAAGTTATAATATTCAATGTGCCCACTGGATTTAAGAAAATAAATTCCCGATTTTTCCCGGGTGCCTAACATATTTATCCAGGTTTCATATGAACTATAAAAAGATTTTAGCAAAAGGTGTCGCCTTAAAGAAAACAATTAAGCAATTCTATTTTTAAGTCAAAACACCCGATAATCACATCAATGGATCGTATCATTCGACCAGTTTAAAATGACGTTTTCTACCACTCAAACTTTAACGTGGAACAATATTTTGATATTTTTTCTTCTACAACCTCGAGAAAATAGGGGCTTATTTGTAATATGCTTGAAAAATCTGGAATTTATTGTTTCATTTCCGTAAAATTGCTGGTAGAAGGTCGTCTCAAAACTGCTCGACAATATGATTAATTGAAAAAAACAAAAGTCATAATTTCTAAAACTTTTAAGGCTCCAAGATCGCAAAAGATTGTCAAATTATGTTCTATAATTCTCATGTTATCTTGAAGTCCGAAATTTGAAATATTTTTAAAGTCACATGTAAATTTTTCAAAAGGCACTAAGTCGAACGATACTGGGCCAAGTGGGTCATTAGAACGAATGTTTTAAAGCGATATATTGATAGAAGAAAGTTTTTGAAAATTACATGAGAAAATTTATGGTTAGCCCAGTATTTACATGTTTGGAAAACTTTTTAAGATTTCAGACTTAAAACAAATTGAATAGGGTTCGGCACCATTTAAGCATAGCACTTCGGCACACCCTTTAAATCAGTCTTCCAACAGCTCCGTACCATTTTTTTACAGCATTCGTAATTTAACTCGTGTGCTAAGAATTTGATGCATGAATGTTCAGGCGTGATCAAAGATTGTATGCCTCAGCAAATTCCGGTGGCGCCGACTGGGTTTGAACTAGCGCTGGGGCTAGGATTATCCGGATATTTTTATTTTTCAATTTTATTAAATTTTGGCAATTAACAGATCTGCCATACCACATCAGGTCACATGGGCACCTGAAAACCAACTTTTTGACAAATCAGTGTCAACATTTCAAAGGACCGTAATTGCTTTTGTAAACAATGGCTTTAGCCGTCGATTTCAAGCAAATTAAAGCTCACCCCTCCAAATTAACGATTCCAGCTGGTAGATGATACATTCATCTACCTGTTGAAGTCATTGATTTTCATGTGTGAGCTTTTATTCGCGAGAAATCGACGGTTAAAGCCATTGTTTACAAAAGCAATTACGCCCCTTTGAAATGTTGACACTGAAATATTTAGAACAGTTAAAAAGAAAACGGTTAAAGGGAGAATAAATTTAAAATTTCACTATCCGTATAGTTACTATCCGCCTGATAACCATCTAAACGTTTTCTCAATTTATTTTATTTCAATATTAGGCACTAGAAACCATGAAATTATGTATACTAAATATCGATTCAGCGATATTTAATTTGTCTGAAAGTAATTTTATAGAAAAAAACTTGAGTATCCGGATAGTCCCAGTTCTAGTTTGAACCCAGGCCTTTTGCAGTGATAGGCAATCACGCTTACCACTACATCACCGGCGCCGCTATCAATACATGAATAATGGATGTGGCTGTTTGTCTTTATCGTTTTTGACACGTATGACGGGAATGGGTCCCATATTCCTAAGTAATGTTCCACCCTATGAAAATATTTGTTAGTTCTCAAATTAAACACAAAATTCGAGGATTCTGACATAATTTTGATGAGAATGTCAAATGAGTTATTAGGAGAATTGCAGTCCTCTACACAATTGACTCTTCTTAGGAATTCTGAGGAAAATTATAAAGGAATCTGACTAGAAGTTCCAGGTAATTTTGAGAAGCATTTCTAGGTTGTCAGGAGGACTAACGGTGAATTTCAAGGTAGTTATGAAGATATTATACACTAAAGGATGAGTCGATAATTATTGCGACACTTCCTGAGTGATTTGAGATTTGGGCGTAATTGCTTTTGTAAACAAACGCTTCACTTGACGATTTCTCGCGAATAAAAGTTTAGCCTAAAAAATAAACAACACATACAGGTAAAGGATGATTTATCTAGCATGTGGTGCAATTTGATCCCGAGATTGAGCTTTTATTCGCGAGAAATCGTAGACTTACGTGTTTGTTTCCAAAAGCAATTATGCCCAAATCTCAGTTCTCCGGACTTTTGATTGATTGGTAAATCGGCTATAGTAATTTTAAGGATCATTTAGAGTAAAATTCTCGACATTTGCGATTAACGGCGTCCATCAGAGCCTGTAAAGTTGTTTCCGGTACGTGTTTCTCAGTTTTTATTCCCACTTCCTCATGATTTCCTCTTCGTCCTTCGCATCGCCTTTGGTCTTTCGAAGTTCGCGCTTCATCATGGCCCAATGGGTTTCGTGAAATATTCCTGTCCCGGCAACTGCTTAAAATCCGCTTTGATGTAGGTCTCATCATCAATGACGCAGCACCGGTATTGCGTTAGCAGCTTCATGTAGAGTTTCCGGGCGTGCGTTTTGGCAACACTCTGCTGGCGTTCATCCCGATTTGGAAAGTTCGGTACCTTGTACGTTTTAATCCGGATCGTTTCTTAGCCCTCTGGACGAAGCTTTGCGAAACATCAAGTTTTTTGACCAAGTCAAAATGTTCGAATTCCGTTTGAAATGAGCAATCAGCGCTCTCTCGGTTTTCGTCCAGCTCCTGGCTTATGGTCCTCTGTCATCCATTCCAGGAACCTTTGGAGGACCCTTGAGATGGTCGAATGATGTATATTCATCAGTTTTCCTAAGGCGCGATGCGACAACCCAGGATTTTGCATGTGGTTGAACAAAATCCTTTCGCGGACGGTTTGCTGATTTTCTTCCATCTCGGAATCTCAAGGCCCACGCACATTAGATCCGGATAGGACGCGTTGCGGCAAAATGACAGCTAAATCTATTGTCTAACTGCCAAATTTACGTCAACGCAACGCAAACGGATCTAATGTGGGTGGCCCTTCACTGACAACTGCACAACTGAGTGGATGTAAAAAATACACTCTAAAGATAAACTGCGCAAAATTTGGTTAATTCCGATCAAGTATGAAAAAAGTCACAGAAGTTTGAAAGTGTCGCAATACCGTATGCGTGATAATGTTTGCACCACAGACAAACAGACATAACACATTGAATATTTCACACTGTTAAACATCGTCGCTAAAACATTACCGCCATCTGTTGAATACACTGTGGTGGGTAGTACGCTGAACAGATGGCGGTAGTGTGTAAACGTCAAACGC